CAAGTAGAGTGAAGAACGTAAAAAAGAACAGATGTATGTGTTCAGCAATTACAAACAGTTCCCTGGTGAATGAAAATTCCATTATATGTTCTACAAAACACAATAAGAGCAATAACCTATTGGTTTGTTTGTTCTCTGTGTTAATAATAGTGAAGATTGAGGTTCTTGTGGCATATCCAGTGGAGATAACCAGAGAAGACTGGATTGGTCTGTGTCTGCAAATTGAGAGTTCGTAGTAGATATAGTCTGGAGAACATTAGTATGTACCTGGTGGGATGAAATATTTGGGGAACAAGAGATACACCTGAATTAGAGATGTGAATCGTGTATTCATCAATTAATGTAACATCTAGTAGAAAACACTGGAAAGAAAAGGAAGAGCCAGATGGTGAAGAGCCTTGTAAAACGAGGGGGAGTATATTACGTTAGAAGAGAGGGGTTCTGGAGGATGATCTTTAGGATAAATCAACATGTACTAGTAAGTGGAAGATAAATAAACAGTGAAGAATATGATGCTCTGCTCAGTGAAGCCGGAGGAAATTAAAAACGAACAAACAGCATTGCTTCATGAAAAGTAGGCCAAATATACTCCATGGTTCCAAATAGTTCAAGATGCTTATTGAATTAGGCCAATGAGAGGCAAGTATTGATATTTGCTAGACTCAATACATTGGAGTGGCGAGTGTGGACAAAGCCAGAATACAATTGGTTAAAAACTTATTGGAAGATCAGGGAACAGAGAAAGTAAATACAGAAAATTATTTTTTAATTATTGCTAAGCAAAAATTATACCAAGTTTTGAAGGGAAATGGATTCACATGATCTCTTATACATTGTTAATGGGATTATAAATTGGTAAAATCCCTTTGGAAAACAGTTTGGTATTATCTTCTGAAGTTAAACATGACCAAGAAATTCTTAATCTAGGTATATAGCCAAGAGAAATAGTTACACAGGTATAACAGTGCACACTTACAGGAATGTTCATAGCTATTGTTGACAATATAAAAAATCTCAAAACTACCCAAATGACCATTAATGGTAGAGTAAATGAATCATCTGTGATGTATTCACAAAAAATCATATTATATAGTTGTCAAAACAAGTAAACTACAGTGGTATGCAACATTGTGAATGAATCTAAGCAAGATAATAAGTGAAAAAAAGTAAGTACCCAAAACTTTTGTACACCATGATACTTTTTAAATAAAGTTAAAAATTGAAAAATACACTTTTAAGAAATACATAGTCATAAAACTATATTTAAAATAAAGCAAGGGTATATATATAGTGTATAAAACTATATATAGAATAAAGCAAGAGAATGATTATAATGGGTTTAGTTTTATAGTTACATGTTTAGCAGAGGCAGGGAAATGGGATAGAGTGAAATATATGAATAAACAAATGTCATGATTAATGTAATAGGTACAGTTTTGAGTAACTAACAAATTGACTAAATAAATAAATGAAAAAAAAAGTCCTATTTTTTAAGCAGTGTTGAGAATGTCTCATGAGTGAAGGATTATGAATAATCCTATACTGGGCACCCAAAGTATAAAGGTTATAAAGAAACAACTTTGTTATAAAGGTTAAAAAAAGAAAGAATGAAAGGGCAGGTATTTGGGAATAATGGGATCTGAGATTATCATACGCAAGACAACAGAAATATTAGGTGAAAAATTTAATAATACAAGCGAGAAATGCAATAGTTGGCGACCATGATTAGTAAGGGTGGAATAGGGGAGGAAACTGAGACGCCATCCCTATTCCACCCTAATTAATGGAATAGTGGAAGTTTCCTTTAATAGTATAGGGAGTTTCAGCCTTGTTCAGTGGGAAGTGAAATTTTCTTGTGAAAAAGTTGTATGAATACCTTTGCATTTGTAGGAGGGGGAACAAGAAGGTAAGGGGATTTATGCCTAATGTTTACTATTTCCATGTGAAGTAAAGATGAGGCCATCTTCTGAGAGGGAGCTTTGAGATGTAGTAGATAATTCATAAAAATATTAAATACTTGAAATAACTTCCATTTTCTCTGATTGTACTCCATTTAATTAACATAATTTATTAGTTACATAAAATTACAATAAATGATCATAATAAAGTGACCTTCATGAAAGATAGTCATGATCTTTATTTTATAATATGAAGATTTTCAGAGCACTTCTGAATGCAAAATACAGGATATGGAAGACACAAAGGAACAAAATACCTCCTGCGCACAAGAAGTTGGCGATCACTCAATTCTACCACCTAGCACAGGTGTGTACTGAATATTTAAGAGAATAGCAGACAGAATTTTTTTTTTAAATAGATTATACCCTCTGTCTCATTTCAATATATAATTTTAAAACTTTACTTTAAACTTTGGGAGAATGTTTAGTTTTGCTTACCTTTCCTCATCATACCCATTTTTAAAATTATATTTAATTGAACATGTGACTTTCACAAAAGGCAAGTATTATGCCCCTATTATGTTGTTATTTGTTACCCCTTATGTTGTCCCTATGAGTATAGGTCAGATTATTTGAAAGTTTTTTTGTTTTTTGCAGAATGAATTTTCCCAAAAGTATAGAGTTCTTGAAATGAATGCCATATCACTGCGCTTGGTTTATAGCTGAGAAGCCAAGATTTCTCACTGCAACCTTAGCACTAGCCTGGGTCTGTCAGAGACAGTTTCTGGCTCAAAAGGGTTCTTACCTACAGAGTTGGAAAAAGAGCTATTCCCAACCTGTAGACTTTTGGGACATAGGAAAATCACCCATTCTCTGATAAGTCAGCTTGAAGCAAACAACGGAATACACGTATCTGAATGGTCTTGGGATTGCGAGGGTGGTCATGTCTTTTGTTTTCAACAAACAGCCTGTGCCACATATCAAGGAAAATGGATCTGTGATGGAGAAAACTGTTACTATTTTTCAAAAGAAGAGAAAACTTGGAACAACAGTGAGGAGTCATGCGAAGACCTGAATTCGAGTCTTGTTAAGATTGATGACAAAGATGAGCAGGTATGTTGACTTTATTTAACCTCGAGTGAGTGCTTTATGGCCTGACTTAGGCTAATTGGTTAGCTTAGGCTTTCCTTCAATCTTAGTTGACCCATTTGTTGGAAGCACTTCTACATAAGGATACAGATTTATCTTGAGAGAAGGGAACATAGGCATTAAAGAGGGCTGGGAGGACAATTTTATTTTTTTAAACCAAGAAAAACCACTTTGTGGTGGGTGTCAGGAAATGATTTTTTAAATCTTTTTATTATATCTTCAGATTTTAGGATACATGAGACTGTTCAGTGTTTATTCTGTCATTTGGAAGAAATGAAAAACCACCTGTGATGATATGAGCAATCTATAAGAAATGACTTTTCAGTGTACTGGGTCCTATTTTTTCCACCAGAAATATTTGGAAGAGACCACATTGTAGGGGAAAACAAAACTTCACTGTCACGGCTATGGAAAACTAGGATGAAAAATAAAGAGAATGAATATGGCTGGAATGATTATTCACAAATGAAATTTTATTTTACTCATAACCCATAATGAGAGAGGAAGATTCACTTTTCCTGATCTGTCCCATTTGCCATAAGTTTTAAGTATATGAAATTAATCCAGAAAGATACTTTCCAATGATTCAGTTTAGGTACTGAATTCCATTTATAATGTTTAGTCTTAACAATGTTATTCCTGTTAGTGTTTAAGGAAGGATGGTTAAAAGTCCTTATATTTACTTTGCCCTTATATCTGTTTATTTATAAAATCTTTACATATTAAAATAATAATAGCCTGAACAATTCTTTACTAGAAGAAATGTATAAAAAGCAGCAGAATATGGAGTCAAAGTAATAAAAACAATCAAGATACAACTTACAACTACCCTAATCAATTTAAACCTCACTTGTTATTGATCAGGAGTCCCTGGTTGGCAGAAACACTTAATGTGCTAGGATGCTAACTGAAAGACTGTAGGTTGGAGTCCACCCAGAGGTGCTTTGGAAGAAAGGCTTGTGTCTTAGTCATCTAGTGCTGCTATAACAAAATACCACAAGTGGATGGCTTCAACAAACAGTTTATTCTCACAGTCTACTGGGTTAGAAGTCCAAATTCAGGGTGTCGGCTGCAGGGGAAGGCTTTCTCTCTTTGTAGGCTCTGGAGGAAGGTCTTTGTCATCAATCTTCCCCTGGATTAGGAGCTTCTCAGTGCAGGGACCTTGGGTCCAAAGGAGGTGCTCTCCTCCTGGCACTACTTTGTTGGTGGTATGAGGTTCCCCAGTCTCTTTGCTGGCTTCTCTCTTTTATATCCAAAGAGATTGACTTAAGACACAACCTAATCTTGTAGATTGAGTCCTGTCTCATTAACATAACTGCCTATAATCATGCCTCATTAACATCAAAGAGATAGCATTTACAACATATGAGAAAATCCCATCAGATGACAAAATGGTGGACAATCACACAATACTGGAAATCATAGCCCAGCCAAGATGACACACATTTTTGGGGGACACAATTTAATCCATGACACTTTGTAAATCTACTTCCAAAAAATCAGCCATTGAAATCCCTACAGAGCACAGTTCTTGTTGCTGTTGTGTGCCATCAAGTTGATTCCCACTCAGAGTGACCCTGTGGGACAGAGGAGAACTGCCCAGAGGGTTTCCTAGGCTGTAATCTTTAAGGGAGCAAGTCACCAGATCTTTCCTCCCACGGAGGGGCTGGCGAGTTCGAACTGTTCACCTTTGCATTAGCAGCTGAGCCCTTACCCGTTATATCACCAGGGCCCCTCATGCACACTCTCAGCATCTAGTAAAACTAGCTGAAGAAATAGACTAATGCACATGGAATCATAGGGCTTCTTAGCAGACGCAGAAAGAATGACGTATATTTTGACAAGTCCGTATAACACCCACACATTTTCCTAGGTGTTAAACATAAATGCTTACAGCGTTTTACAATTGTTTTTTATTTACAATTATATAAGTTAATTACAATGAATATATATTGAACATTGTGTGTGTGTGAGAGACAGAGAGAGAGAAGAGAAAATAAATGCATTCCTTTTCAGAAAGAAAATTTATTGCTTCATATTTGAATACAAAAGAGAATATTTAGAGTGAATAAAATATGCTAATTAGAATAATGACTACAAAAATTAACAATACTTTTATGTTTACGATGTCTCAGACATGCTGCACACATTATTTCAGGGCACAAAATCTTCAAAACAATATGATTCGCATTTTACAGATAAGAAAAATGTTCAAGGAAGTTCATATATGGGACTAAGTTTACGTGATGAATAAATGGCATAACCTGACTTGAAGCCTACAGTGACATTTCCTTTATTTTCGCTGCTCTACAATATTCCATAGCGGGACTATACTTCATCCATTCTCCAGATGATGGGGATTTGGGTTGTTTCCAGTTTTTTGTTGGTATGAATAGTTATTCATTAAACATCCTTAAATGGGTTTTCTATGAAAGACTTTTTTACGTGTCCTTTCTTCTCTTCATTATAATCACCTTAGGCATGAAATCACTGGGTAATGGGATATATAAAAACTCGATTTTCCATGTCGGTTACACATTATTTTCCAATATGATTTTAGCATTCGTTTAAAAGATATTGTGCTGATCCCTTCCCCCCACAGACTTGGTGCTGTCATTCTTTTTAATTTCTGTCAATTGAATAGTTGTAAAATGATATTTCATTGTAGCCTTGTTTTGCATTTCTCTTATCTAGTGAGCCTGAGCAGCTTTAAATATGTTTGCATGTGTTTATTGGTCATATATGTTTTGTATGTGAAATATTCTCATTTTTTGTCACTTTTTTTGTTTGGATGATTTTTGTTTTCTTATTGATTTGTAACAATACTGTATTTGTTCTTTATGCTAACTTTTTGTAGATATCGTCTCTAGATTTGAAGCTTAACTTTCCTGTGCTTCTAGGAGTCCTTTGACGAAGAGGAATTTTAAATTTAGTGCGGTCATATAGGCCTGTCTTTTTTATTATTCTTGCAGATATTTGCATCCTTTTAAAATGTCCATCACCCCCCCTCCTTGGTAATTTTCATCCATTTGAGAGTGATTCAGTCATCGAGCTCTCTGTACTTCTGTTTCTTCTCTGTGCAATGGGGCTGGTTCTGCCTTCACTATTTATCATAGGGGTATTTGGAGATGTCTGATCAGTGTTTTATGAGAGTCCTCTGTAGGCAAAATGTTTTCATAGCCTCTGTGAGTAATACTAGTGTTTCTAATTTTCCCATAGAAATTTCTTCAATCACATATCGATTACAATCACTGGGTTGGATTACATAAAAAAGGAACTAATGACCCCTGGAGATGGCTGAATGATGGCTCAGAACTTTCTAAACACCTGTAAGTTTTCATCTTATAGTCTCCTGCTTCCTTTCTTTCTCAGTAACTGATTCATAAATTATAGGTCAAGAACAGGGAAAGAATAGATGAGTAATGACAAACCAAATAAACCAAGCAAATTATATAGTATATTAGAAGTTCACAAACGCTATAAATGCAGGCTCGTACATCCAGCTGTAGCCGGGAGTAGACCGGTTTGCCTGGTGCTGAGAAGCAGAGATTTCACTGTTTTAATAGGGTATTCAGGGAATGCGTCTTTGAGACTGTGACATTTGTTCAATGATTTGAAGGAGGTAACTGAGCAGATCCTGTAGGCTACCTGATGGAATAGCATCCTGGCAAGAGAACAGCTCATGGGAAGACCCTGAGGTGGAAGTGCCTTTGGCATGCTTGACGAAATAGAAGGAAGGCTTGTGATGCTGTTTCAGAGTGAGCAAGGGGAGAGAAATGGGAGGTCAGAGAGGCAACAAGGGGGAGATCAGACATAAGGGTGAAGCCCCTTTACCTTTTTCATGAGTGTCATGAGAAGTTATTGGAGGGTTTTTAGCAGAAGAGTGATAAGAATAGGATTCTTAAAGAGTTATCTTGGCTACTGTGTTCAGATTAGATTGTGCGTGTTGTGGGGTGCGGGTAACAAATTGGGATGCTGGGAGATTAGTTAAGACTCTATTGGAATTATCCCAGTAAAGGATGATTTTGGCTTGATTAAGACTAGTAGAGGTGGAGATTCCAGACATATTTCGAAGATGTGTGAGAGAAAGAAAATCAGGGATGATTCCAAGATTTTTGTCGAGCAATTGTCTGGATGGTGTTGCCGGCAACTCTGGTGGGGAATCTTAGGAGTTCAGTTTTAGGTATAATGTGAGAAATCTATTAGACATTTAGATAACTAGGGAAATGTCACATAGGCATTTTGGTATATACTTCTGAAGTTCAGGTGCGAGGTCTGTGCTCGGAATACAAATTTAGCATGCATCAGTGTATAGATAAGGAGCCTGGTGGCACAAGCATTTTGCGATTGGCTGCTAACCTAACGGTTGGCATTTTGAACCCATCCAGGTGAAGAAAAGGCCAGGTAATCTGCTTTCCTAAGGATTATACTCAGGGAAACCCTAGATAGCTGTTCTATTCTGTAAGACATGGGGTTGTCGTGAGTCGGAGGCCACTGGATGTCATCTAACAACAATAAAGTATGGATGGTGTTAATACTATGAGGCTAGATGTGATCTTGAAAAAAACTCAAGGACTGAGCCCTTAAACACCCAAATGTTTAAGATATTGGGAGGATGAGGATAACCAGTAAATGTTCCTGAGAGAGAGTGGCTAAAGATACGAGAGGAAAATCATGAAAGACCAGCTGAGAGTAACGGACAGCTTACAGAGAAGTGCTACTGAAATAACAAGCAGAGTTTCAAACGTTGGTGACTTACTGCAAATAACTTTTTTTACTTGAAATTATTACTTAGGATCAGTTAGATTCATGGATGTTTGGAGGGAAATTAAGATTAAGCAAAATTTCTATTCTATATTTTAGTCTAGCCCTATCCTTTAAAATCCATTTTCCTATTCTCATTCAATTTCACAACATTGTAATACTTTAGTGTCCAAGAGATTAGGCTCAGTGCGAAAAGGGGACACTTATGTTTGAAATGCAAGCCATCATCTTCTATGCTGAAAGGGAGTCTAGCACTGGAGCCTCAAGGGGACCCTTTGCAATTTCCTCTTTGTAACAGTAAACGGGAGTTATTTTTATATCTAGTTTCAGTGTGTCACAGAATAATTTTACTACACTTAGTCACTTGGAAGAATTTTTAGATGTTTCAGAAGAATACTTTCCCAAATGTACATGGGATCCATGTATATGCCCCCGACCCCCTTCCCACACTCTTCTTACCTCTTCCTTATCTGCTATCCTCCATCGGTATAGTATCCATTAGTTTTACAAACAATTATGCCTCATGATTCAGTAGCTATGTATCTGATTGTTTATGTCCTTGGAAATAATTATGCATATATACACGAATATTATAATACTGAAATTTTGCCTTAGGAGTGGCTCTCTAAAATGAGTACATTCTCTGATGCAGGGATATTCAACATATGTCTGATAAGCGTGATACAAATTGTGGATATCTCAAGCCAACAGCTCTTACGAATGATGTTTGTACTAAAGCTTTTTATTACATTTGTGAAAGGAAGTTTACCTGCCTTGCTAATAAAAATAATTACTAAA